ATCTGCACATATGACTTCTACTTATTTTTGACACAAATGGAACCCCATACTCACACTGTTTTCTAATGAGAGAGCTGATGAAAAACCGAAGTTAATTAAAAACCAGAGGATTTAGTGAGGAAAGGTCAGTCAGGATCAGAGCTGGAGCTGCTGTTCTTCAGTCTGTTTCCAGCTCAGCTTCACCATGTCGGTATTTAGCTATAAAGATGCTACGAGTCAGAGCCCAACATGCTGAAAATGGCGTTTTATGAATGTGAAAGAAACATATATGAAACATATCGTATGTATTTTCTATTACACTTTTGGATAATTTCTCTTTTCTCCTTAGCTTTAGCCTGTGAACCAGGACGTCTCAGAAGTCATTGAGTTCTCCCAGTGTGACCAGCAGACTGAAGCCCTGCCTGTGACAAGCGTTCCCAGTATAATAAATAAATGTTTTATTCTTTCACTTTGTGTGTATTTTTAAATATCTCAGTCTGAAGTATTACTGTATTAATGTAGCTTATGTAATGAAATAAAAATAATTTACTCATAATTATTTTCACTCTTTGCTGTCAATAGCAGAGTTGACATACTGTAATAAATATTTATTCTCTGGAAAAAAAGTAAGAAAAATATGTAGTTTAATGTTTGACAATGACTGATTTATAGATCAAAAGTCATTTCTCAATAATGTATAAAAAATAAATACAAGAAAATAATTTGTTGTCTTGAAACGTTAAATGTAGATTAAATTATGGAATTATGTAAATATGTTCTTTAAACACTGTAAAAGTGTCTGTTCATCAATGTTAATATAAAAATGATCAGAATCATTTCTATCAAATAAAAACATTGTGCTCTTTATTCAGAAATGCCCCCAAAACAATTAAATAATCACATCAAAAGTTAGAAACTCTGTCTTTAGTCATTTCTTAAATAACCAAATATATTAGTGTGTGTGAGAAAATGTGTCAATGTATTAACTTAAAATACTTTGTAGAACGGCACTTTGTGAAGTTCGGTCCATTTAGCTTACTGGCACTTATTCCACATTCAATATGGCGGACGCTGTTACGTATCACAGCAACGGGCCAGTCCGCTCTATGAGGCGTCTACGTATTCATGTCTATGGTTTCAACCACAACTGACACTGTTTCTAATCATAAATGCTGTGTTTCCATTAGCTGCAGAAAATCCTCATAATTAACAGAAATAAAAGGCTTGGAAACATCTGATTGTGTGTAATTATTCACAGGGAGTGATTCACTCACTGAAATAAATGAACATTTCCTTAATGTCCTAAAATATTTAATAAAACTGTATGTTGAGAGGAGGCTCAAAGCGGAAAATTCAAGGGGGAACTAAACATCGTTTACAGTTTCTTCGGTACAGCTAAAGTGAAACACACGGAAAGCTACGGAGCACACGAAGTAACGTTAGCTCCACTTAGAAGGTCGTTTGAAAACAGGTTTGGTGTTTTATGTAAATATTTCCGTGTTTGCAATAAAAATGTCTTCAGTTCAGCCTCAAGAGAGAGTTTATAAACGAGCAGGTAACTCCTGCTGAAGAAACATTCACAGAGTTGAAAGAAATCAACGTCAAGATTGAGGAAGAGATGGAGGATCAGACAGAAATCAACGTGAAGTCCGAGGAAGAGATGGATGACCAGACAAAAATCAACGTTAAGATCGAGGAAGAGATGGATGAACAGACAGAAATCAACGTTAAGATCGAGGAAGAGATGGACGATCAGCGCAGACTGATGGATTTCAGCCCAATACCGAAGATCATCTTACTCCAGAAAGGTACAAAAATATGGGTTTCCATTTGTGTCAAAAATAAGCATAAATCATATGTGTACTGTAGTCCCTCGCCATATTGCGGTTCATCTTCTGCAGTCTCACTGTTTCGCGGATTTTTAAAATTTTTTATTTGCAGCACTGCATTTTTTAAATTCTGTGACAAAATTCTACTGTATGAATCAGACCACTTTGTTTCTTATCTTGATTGGGTCAATGGACACCAAAGTGGTTTGTTCTGTGACTTGATTGGCCAAGAGAGTCGGTCGCAGCCTTGGTTCTTACACCGTAGTTTTCATATCGCTTTTGCTTTAATACGGTAGTGTTACTACACTGTGAAGTGTGTTGGCGATTTTTTTTTTTCGTTCAAAAAGATGGATTTATTTTAAGCCTCATGTTGACTAAACATCCAGGACCTTCAGCACCTGCTGCTGCACCCAAACACAAGAGGAAGATGCTAACCATCGCTCAAAAGGTTGAACTCCTGGACATGCTAAAGGAAGGGAAAAGCTAGGCGGCTGTAGGGCGCCACTTCGACCTAAACGAGGCTTCCGTTCGGTACATAAAGAACAGACGAAGACCTGACGTAAATGACAAAGCCCACAAGTGAAGAAGATGAGGCAGAGGAGGAAGACAATATCTAAAGACAATATCTAACATATATGTTAGATATAATGTCTATGTTGTATGTGTTCGCTGCATATGCGTTAGTTGTATATGTAGATGTTCTATATGTTATGTCTTTGGCTGCGTCGTGGTTATTACTCATTACTGCAGATGAATTGACAAGATGACAGCGAGTAATAACCATGACTCGCTGTCATCTTGTCAGTGCACCTGCAGTAAACCCTTTGCAGTTGTTTTTTTATGTAACGTCTGTGATTGGTCAATGTCGTAGGGCAACAGCAGCGCAGGAGTCAACACACAGAGGTGCCAGCTGTGTGATTGGTCCACTCCCAACTTTAAATGCATAAACTATAAACCTATAAATCTTTTAGAAATAAATCTGCTCCTCAAGTGAAACTCTCAGAACACTGGAGATGCTTTCAATCTGGCCTTAAGATAAAAAAAAAAATGAAGTGATTCCCCCCACCCCAATTGTTAATTTTTCTAAAAATAAAATCAAGCAACACTTAGCCTGGTGGGGGTCTAGTAAAGCATGGCAGGCTGCCAGGCTATTAATACACTAGGGGAAACTCCGAGACTGAGATCAGATGTCCTTTTTTTTAATTCACTAGAACACAGTAACCACTGCTTATCTTACATACTAACAACTTCAATAAGCAAAGTTACAAGTCATGGATAAAGGATCAAAAGATTATTTCATGGTGATAGTGCAGATAATTAAATGATTATTTATTAATTATATTGATTGGGTAAGTTTACATTTTAATAATGTAACATATTTCAAAATTTTGTAGTAAATGATTAAAACAATTTGTCATTGTTTATTTTCACCTTTCATATTTTATCTTTCAAGCTGTTCAAAATTAATGTCAAATATGTTCAATAGGATCATTTTGTCATTATTTTCAGCTTGTGTGCAGTTAACAACAATCATCCACTGTTACCAATTCTGCTGCAAATCGCAGAAAAGTAAAGGCTGAGATTGAGTCGTGCTTTTGAAGGTTTATGTTGAGTGTGTGAGTGGATCAATGTCTGACAATATCAATGGTTGAGATTAAAAATTAAACTGCAGTTTCGCTTTAGGCATTTTATGTCACTCTTTAATGTGATATATATCCTGTAGCTACATGGAGGAAGAAAATTTTTTGTAATGTTTGTCAGGAAGCCACCAGGTTAAGCTATCACCATCTTGTTTGCTGACCTGGAGGTCCATAATATCATATTTTGACTCGCATCTAGTTCCAGACTGGTCAGAAGAACCTAATTGGTTGAGTTTATGTTCATTCTTGTAAGATTGTAATTTTAGAATAACCCAAGTAAATCCTGTTTTGATGAATTGAGGTTAAAGTGAAGGATTCCTTGTTTGATTGACATTTAAAAGCTTTTGTTTTGTCGTTTTGTCCAGATCTCCCACAACATTGTGTGTATACAGAGGAGGAGGTTCTCAGTGAAACAGAACCACAGAGGAACCAACTCATCTCTCATGGCTCTCCAGAAGCTGAGAACCAGGATCAGGAAGGAAGCAATTCTGAAGATCCAGGAAAAAAGAGAAAGAAAGAACAGAAACAAAAGGAGAAATATGAGAAAACCAAACAGCAGAAAGGCAGAACTGACACTGAGAAACAACAAAAGCACAAGAAAGATAACCCAAGCCAAAAATTATATTCTTGTAAAATTTGTGATAAAACCTTTTTTCGAAACAAATACTTGACGTGTCACATGATAACTCACACAGGAGTAAAACCTTTCACATGTTCAAACTGTGGAAAAAGTTACAGAAAAAAGGGTTATTTAATTTATCACATGAGAATTCACACAGGTGAGAGGCCTTTCTCCTGTGGAACCTGTGGAAAAAGTTTCTCTCGAAAAGACCATCTAAATGATCATATGAAAGTTCATACAGGAGAGAAGCCTTTCTCTTGTGGGACCTGTGGGAAGAGTTACAGTCAAAAAGGGACTTTAACTCATCACATGAGAATTCACACATGTGAGAAGCCTTTCTCTTGCGAGACCTGTGGAAAGAGTTGCAGTGAAAGAGGAACTTTGACTCAGCACATGAGAATTCACACTGGTGAGAAGCCTTTCTCTTGTGGGACCTGTGGAAAGAGTTTCTCTCGAAAAGACAATCTAAACGTTCATATGAAAGTTCATACAGGTGAGAAGCCTTTCTCCTGCGAGACCTGTGGAAAGAGTTACAGTGAAAGAGGGACTTTAACTCAGCACATGAGAATTCACACAGGTGAGAAGCCTTTCTCTTGTGGGACTTGTGGAAAGAGTTACAGTGAAAGAAAGACTTTAACTCAGCACATGAGAATTCACACAGGTGAGAAGCCTTTCTCTTGTGGGACTTGTGGAAAACATTTCTGGAGGAAATCAAAATTACTTGATCACATGAGGATTCACACAGGTGAGAAGCCTTTCTTATGTGGGACCTGTGGAAAGAGTTACAATACCAGAAGCAGTTTAGCTCGTCACATGAGGACTCACTCAGACTAGAAGCTTTAGAACAAAACACCTCAGATCCATTTTTGCATTTGCTCCAATGGAAAATCTGTTCGGATAACGTAAACAGCAAGAAAATGTTAAAGTCAACAGATTGTTGCAGGCTGCTAGTGATTCACTGTGTCTTTCAGTGTATGTTCAAGATAAAGCTGAGGTCTACTTTTGCCTACCAGCTTGTTTTCCTTAATCCAATTTTTTCTTTTACTTTTCAGTCGTATTTGTGCTTCGGATTTCCATCAGTATCCCATTAGATACTGAAGTTAAAGAGGGCCACACATTCAGCAGGGTTCATTTCTGAGGGTTTCAATTTTCATAGAGTTCTGTCCCTTGTAGAATAATTGAGTTTAGCTTTTACATTTTTTCCATGTATGACTGAATGTTAAATACTTTACATATGAAAGCAGTGAAATGTTCTTGTTTTTCCATAAATGGAACTCTATGATGATTGTTTGAAAAAAAAAAATCTCAAAAATAAAATTGATCTGGTCATAATTTGATTCAGTGCTAACCACAGAGAGGTTTTTATTTTCCCAATTTTTTGTCATTGTTATAATTTGCTATGAGAAGCAAAGTATATTATTGAAAATGTATGTTAAACTATACGCCAGTATTCTGAGCAGAATATGCTTTTTAATAATGTTGATTAGAATAAATATTAATGGATTATTCAGTGATTGTCAGTCATTAACTGTTGCCATATTTTTAATTGTCAGATTGAAGTAAAGTATCTAAAGATCCTTGGATTAACAGTAAAACATGAGTTTTTTTACCCAAATTTATATTTTTCATTTCTTCAGTCTCAGAATTAGACATATTCTGAAAAAAGTCACATTCATTAAATTTTACAAAATTAAAAGTATTTTTTAATAATTAGTGTGTTATTCTAATCTCAATTGTAATGTTTTCATTAGTCATTAATTCTGCATTGTCAGAGAAAATACATCTTTATGGACGTTTCATGCATCTTTCATTTACTGTATACAGAGATAACACTGCGGATGAGCTACAACACTATAATGTGACACAAAAACAAACCAGAAATTCTAAGGATATTTTTTAAAAAGTCAAAAATCCATAATTTAGTCAACTCGCCCAAAGTCTTCTGTTGTTAAGAGCTTTGGATTCCTGATCCTTTTCAGTTTTGTTGACCTCAGTCAAATTAGTTTCCCTCTTTCTGATCTTGATGTATCTGCAGGTTCCTATGAACACAAAAATCTTATGAAAATATGACAAACCTTTTCAAGAAATTGTCATCTTTTTTTCAAAATTTGTAATGAAAATGTCTTTGCAGGAAAGTCTTCTGTAATGTGGACCACAACGTTTGGAAAAACATCTTCAAGAGTTCTAACATTAAATACAGGATTTTGTTGGTTTTATCATAAAAATTAATGAACTCAAATTAGATTCTTTCTTCTTACATTTTTGTAAAAATGGCTGAGTTAGTGATTTCTACAACAGCTGAAACAATGTAGTTGTAGTATCAGGCTCTTGCCAGCAGGTGGCAGCATGAAGATGCTTCTCTGTCAGGCCTGCAGGGGGAGACATGATGTGTGGTTGTTGCTGCTGGAGGTGAATCATTCAACAGAAACTCATCACCAGTTTTTCTGAACCCTCCAACTGTTTGTTCCAGTCAACAAGTTCTCGCCTGAAAGGTTCCCAACATATCGAGTCTGGAAAACAGAGAAACTGGACAGAACCAGATTAGCATCGCACATGTTGTGAAATAGATGTTAAAGATGTTTAAGGTTTGCAGCAGGAAACCAGGTTCATGACAGTATATTGATATTTTATACAGCTGCAAAATGACTTTTGTTTCATAGCTGGGAGGATCTTCAGTTAAACACTTTTTTGTTCCTTTGGAAGGAGTCACAGGGTTTTCCTTTGTTATTTTGCATTTCTGTTAATATATTTTCTTTCTAAGTTTTCAAATGAATGAAAGGAAAATACTACACTGAGTAATTAATAACATCTCCATGCTCAAGTATTGCAGCTATGTATTATGATTTAACCAAAAATACTTTTATTGTTTTGATGGTTTTAATTAAAATGATTTCCTCTCCTCTTCTCACTACTCATCTCTTCAGTGACCTTTCATGTTGTCACTTCATTGTAAGGCAGGATGGACCTTTATCACAATACAATCAATTATTACCAAGTCAAAACAACAAATCTCTGTTCCTCTAAAATATAAAATAATTCACTGTTTAACTGTACAACTGAAACTCATTCTAAACAACTACAACCTGATATAAAACATTAGATTGTTTTACAAACTAAAAAGATAATACTCAAAAAATTACAATATACATTCCAGCATGATTCTTTTGTAAGATTCTATGTACCTTTGATAACTGACTGCACATTTCTTGGGTGTTTTTTTATTCGTTAGGCTGATTAAATATTCTCATATCTCAAATATCCTCATAAGATAGATATAAAAAGTATAAAAACACCATCTGTGTGTAATTATTCTATATACTATGTTTGTGTTTGTTCAGAGGAAACTCAAAGCGGAAAATTCAAGGCGGAACTTAAAATCGTTTACAGTTTCTTCAGTACAGCCAAAGTGAAACACGCGGAAAGTAGTGCACACGAGGTAGCATTAGCTCCTCTTGGAAGGCAGTTTGAAAACAGCTTTGGTGTTTTAGGTAAATATTTGTGTGTGTTCAGTAAAAATGTCTTCAGTTCCGCCTCAGAGAGAGTTTATAAACGAGCAGGAAACTCCTGCTGAAGAAACATTTACAGATTTGAAAGAAATCAACGTCAAGATCGAGGAAGAGATGGAGGATCAGACAGAAATAAACGTTAAGCCCGAGGAAGGGATGAACGATCAGCGCAGACTGCTGGGTTTCAGCCGGATACCGAAGCTAATCTTACACCGGATAGGTACGAAAAACCTTCACGTTATTGACCTTATTCCAGGGGAGTTTACTGGGGAAGCGATTATCGTTGTTATTTCCGGCGGCTAGCGGAAGTAGCATTATTTCATTGTAATTTGTAGGGTCTTTGCTAATCTATATTCATGATAGAAATTACATCTCTCTTCGGTTATAGTACAATATTTAGTAAAAACTTGTTTAGGGACGCACCGTCTGCTGTCAGAGAACTGCTCAGTACAGATTTCTGAGTTTAATCACGGGGAGCGACAGGAACACGATCGTTACGTTTTGTAACGGAATGACAGTGAATTAGCAGCGCTGCTAGCAGCTTGTTTCTCTTTAGAGCTGACAGTAATAAAAAGAAAAACAGAGAAGATTTGAGGTCTGCCATAGATCTGAGTTGTGCCGACAGTATGAAACACCAGAACTACACAATATTAGCTTTGTGTGATGTAAATTTTATTTTTTGTTTGAATTTAAAAAATAAGAAAGTTTAATATCTGAGTATTTGTCATTATGATTTGGCCAGAAAAAAAAATATTTATAAGATAAAATAAAATATCTGGATTTATTTAATCCATCAGAACCAGAACCTTGAGGTTCTCCGTTGCTGAATGTTGCTGCAAATCAGCAGAGAAATAACCAGAGCTGCTGCACTCCAGACCGTAATACTGAGAATCTCCCCACTGGACTAGAACCGAACCGAATCACACATTAACCTGTTATAGAGAGCTATGTTCCACTGGAAAGTATCGTTAGATGCCCTTGTGGAGCTACAGTAAGGTGCACTCTATAGTCATGAAAGTACTGTCTTATTGTTATTTGACATCTTCTCGTTATGTATCAAACATTCAGGTAATCCTTCTGTATTGGCAATAAATGGAAATGATTCTGTCGAAGAATTGTAGAATTTCTCCTCAGCTATTTTTCTCTTTTCCTCTTTGCTATCCATGGCCCACCACACACCCGCCCAGCTGAAAGGAACATGTCGCAGGCTATGTTGCAAATCTTCGTTGACAGAAATGTTGAAATTTAATATTTATTCTACACATTTTTATAGCATTGGAAAACGTTAAGAAGGATTGTCGTGTTTGTTCTCGTACGGAAACCATATTAAAACAAAAAATATATTTCCCACAACCCTTTTTTTCCATTTTCAAACAATTTTGAAAAAGCTGCAGAGAGCCACTAGGGCAGCGCTAAAGAGCTGCAGGTTGCCAACCCCGGTCTTATACATGTTTAAAAGCTTTTGTTTTGTCTTTTTGTGCAGATTCCCTACAGTGCTGGGTGTGTAAAGAGGAGGAGGTTCTGAATGAATTCAGCAACCAGGACAGGAAGTCCACTTCATATAAAGAAGAACCTGAACATCAAGAGTTCAAAGAGGAAGAGAAGCCACTCTGCATCAGTCAGGATGAAGAACAACTTGTGCTGAAACAGGAGACTGATGACATTTCGATGAATTCTAATGTGCAAAGAATCCACAATGAAACAGAACCATGGAGGAACCAACTCATCTCTCATGGTTCTGTTGAGGATGAGAACCAGGATCAGGAAGGAAGGAATTCTGAAGACCCAGGAAAAAAGAGAGATGAAGAACAGAAACAAAATGAGAGATGTCAGAAAACCAAACAGGAGAAAAGTAAAACTGACAGTTCCAAACAAAAAAGGCAAAAAATGATGGATCACATGAGAATTCACACAGGTGAGAAACATTTCCCATGTGTGAACTGTGGAAAGAGTTTCAGGCGGAATAGACAATTGATTGATCACTTGAGGATTCATACCGGTGAGAAACCTTTCTCATGTAGAACGTGTGGAAAGAGTTACAGACTACGATTGAGTTTAAAACATCACGTGAGAATTCATACAGGTGAGAAGCCTTTCTCTTGTGCAACCTGTGGAAAGAGTTACAGAGTAAGACATAGTTTAACTTATCACATGAGGATTCACAAAGGTGAGAAGCCTTTCTCTTGTGCAACCTGTGGAAAGAGTTTCATTGGGAAAAGTAATTTTCGTTCTCACATGAGGATTCACACAGGTGAGAAGCCTTTCTCATGTGGGACCTGTGCAAAGAGTTACACGGTAAAAAATGATTTAATTGATCACATAAAAATTCACACAGGAGAGAGACCCTTTTCTTGTGTGACTTGTGGAAAGACTTATGTATATAAATCTGATTTGAATCGTCACATGAAGAGTCATACAGGTAAAAAGCCTTTCTCATGTGTGACCTGTGCAAAAAGCTTTGGAACCAAACAGATTTTAAATCGCCATATAAGGATTCACACTGGTGAAAAGCTTTTTTCTTGTGTGACTTGCGGAAAACGCTTCGGAACCAAAGAGATTTTAAATCGCCATATACGGACTCACACTGGTGAAAAACCATTTTCTTGCGTGACCTGCGGAAAACGCTTTGGAACCAAAGATAATTTAAATTGGCACATGATGATTCACACAGGCGAGAAGCCTTTCTCTTGTGGGACCTGTGGAAAGAGCTACAGAGCAAAACATAAATTAACTCATCACATGAAGATTCACACAGGTGAGAAGCTTTCTTGTCTGAGATCTGTGGGAAAAGAGAGATGAACAGAAACAAAATGAGAGATGTCAGAAAACCAAACAGGAGAAACGTAAAACTCACAGTTCAAAACAAAAGAGGCAAAAATAAGATGGATCATGAGAATTCACTCAGGTGAGAAACCTTTCTCATGTGTGAACTGTGGAAAGAGTTTCATTTGGAAAACAAATTTACTCAACCCTATGTAGTCGCTGCCCACCGTGCGGCATACAAGCATGTGACGCATTTATAAGACTTCGTAATAAATGAACCGCATACCGAGTTTTCATTTCGACTGTTGGACAGCGCACTGACTTCAAACTTTATAAAAGTTGTGTTTTTATATGGGTTTCGTGGTTATTTACTTCAAAATAAAGCCAGGAATAAGATAGATAATTTCCGCTTTATTTTGTGGGGTCTAAATGTACCACATTTCGAAACAACCAATGAAAATGTGTTGACAGTCTGTTGCTAGGTAGAATGGAGACACACGGAGAGAGACGAGGGGGCGGGGGGGTATTTGGATACGGCAAGAGACTAGGTCACAGTGATGCTGGGAATTTTACTAATTTTTTTAGTCTACAAGTGTGTTAGAGTTCGTGGCGTGTGCAGGGTTAGTAGTAGTTTTGCTAGCTATCGCTACATGGCTTCATAGCGAGCGCAGACGCACTGAGAAGAGAGACTGCGTGCCGGGATGGCCATTTAGACCTCGTCTTCAAAGGGTTAAACACATGAGGATTCACATAGGTGAGAACCCCTTGTCTTGTGGGATGTGTGAAAAAAGTTTTACTCAAAATGGCTATTTAAAACTTCATAAGAAAATTCACACAAATGAGAAGCCTTTCTCATGTGGAAAGAGTTTCACTGAGAAATGTTCTTTAAATGCATATGAGAATTTACACAGGTGAGAAGCACGAAGAAGGAGCTGTGATGTTTTTTCTAGAAAAGGCAAATAAATTACCACATTAAAACTCACATAGGTTGAAAGCCTTTTTTTTTGTGTGTGTGACGTGTGAAAAAAGTTTCCATAGCAAATTTAGTTTAACTCGTCACATGATAATTCAGAAGTGAGGAGCCTATTGTGTGATTTGTGGAAAAAGTTTCATTCAAAAAATTAAGTTTAACTTCATATTACAACAATATAATGTGAACCTCAAGTATCAAGTAGTTTTTTCTTTCCATGAAACTTTTTTATTTTACGTGAGCTATTTATCTCACTTTAAAAAAGTGAGATAAATACTACTCGTCTCTTCAGTGACCTTTCATGCTGTCACTTCATTGTAAGGCAGCCTGTGCCTTTCATCACAATACAATCATTACCAAGTCAAAACAACAAATCTGTTCCTCTCATATGTATAATAATTCACTGGTTAACTTTACAACTGAATCTCAACCTAAAAAAAATTACAATCTGATATAAAAAAAATCAAGTTGTTTTACAAACTAAAACGATAATACCCAAAACATTACAATGTAAGTTCCAGCATGGTTCTGTTGTAAGATTCAAAGTACCTTTGATAACTTACTAAAACCCACATTTTTTGAGTAACTTTTTTTTATTAGTCTGATGAAATATTCTCATAAATTTCAGTTTTATGTATGCGGCCATGAAAGGAAAAACATTCATTTTGTAATTGTTGAGAAAGGGGCAGATTTTTTCAAGGTTTTTCTTCTTTCTGCTCCTTTTCACTCATGCAGATTAATTGTTACAAGACATTGTGGTTGTGTACATTGGTGATGAAGTTTGTTTGGTTGAGTGAATAAACTTATTGATTGATGGATTGATGTGAGTCCTGTCTTTATGTTTTTGTGTGAATTTTGACATGTTTGTTCAATTTGTTTAGTTCGGCTTTATTTTGCCTGAAAGCGTCTCAATACTGACTTTCTTCGACAGTTGCATTTTCAGCGGTACAGCTCGGCACAACTTCATCACAAAACAGGTGTTCATAGAAGCCATAAAAGCACAGTACTCAAATTTGTTTCTTCTTGTATACATTTGTAAAAATGGCTGAGTAACTGATTTCTACAACAGCTGTCTGAGGCGAAACAATGTAGTTGTCAAGACATTTAGGTTCTGCAACAGGAAACCAGGTTCATTACAGTATATTGATATTTCATAAAGCTGCAAAGTGACTTTTGTTTCTTAGCAGTGAGGAGCTTCAGTTAAACACTTTTTGTTCCTTTGAGAGGCATCACAGTGTTTTCCTCTGTTATTTTGTATTTCTGATGTAAGTTTTTAAATGTGTTCATGTGTGTACAACAACTCCTTCCTCAGATATTGCATATATGTAGTATAATATGAACAAAATACTTTAGTGGCCTTAGTAAAAGGCTGCAGAAAATCCTCATAACAGAAATAAAAGGCTTGGAAACATCCTTGTGTTTGTGTAATTACTTTAATACTGTGTTTCACTCACTGAAATATATGAACCTTTTCTTAATGTAAAATATTTCATATAATTGAAAGTGGAGAGGAGGCTCAAAGCAGAAAATTCAAAGGGGAACTAAACATCGTTTGCGGTTTCTTCACTACAGCCAAAGTGAAACACACAGAAAGCTACGGAGCACATAGACATAATTAATGTCTTTGGACATAAATACGTAGACCCGTCATGGGGCGAGGCGGCCCGTTGCTGCGATACGTAACAGCGTCCGCCATATTGAATGTGGAATATGTGCCAGTAAGCTAATACAAGT